TTAGGACTCCGAGCTTTCACTGCTGAGGGCCCAGGTTTGATCCCTGGTTGGGGAACTGAGATCCCACAACCTGCGTGGCACGGCCAAAAAAAATTTTCTTTTTCTCTGCCCTTGGGCTTCCTCTCTCAGATGCACAATCCCCTCTACTAGGGATTGTGCATCTGTGTTACACATTCACCAAACCTCCTTATCAGCAGAAATACCTGCTCAACCATAAATAGCAGCATTCTCCTAGCATCACCAAGACAACTCCCCTCTCTGCTTAATTTTATAAGGGGCCACCGTGACCCATGACCCACTACTCGCTTTGTCCATGTAGATCTGGATTCTGTAAACTGTCAATAATATGTCATTTAGGGACTTCCCTGGTGGTTCAGTGGTTAAGAATCCACCTGCCAATGCAGGGGACACGGGTTTGATCCCTGGTCCGGGAAGATTCCAAATGCCTCGGAGCAACTAAGCCCTGGCGCCACAGCTACTGAGACTGCGCTCTAGAGGCCGCAAGCCACAACTACTGAGCCCTTGTGCTGCAACTACTGAAGCCCGTGTGCCTAGAGCCCATGTTCAGCAGCAAGAGAAGCCACCGCAATGAGAAGCCCGGGCACTGCAACGAAGAGTAGCCCCCAGTCCCTGCAACTAGAGAAAGGCTGCACGCAGCAACAAAGACCTAACGCAGCCAAAAATAAATAAACTAACTAAATAAATTTATTTTAAAAACCTATAAAAAATAATACGTCATTTAATGTACAGCCCCCTCTGTCTCAAAAAATTTATATAACTGTGCTTTGACCTTTAACGGGCAGAACAGTTCTTGGAGCTTTCTGAGGGGCTGTTCCTGGGTTATGATCCTCAATTTGGCTTTAATAAAATTGTCCATGTCTTTCTTAGATCAACTGATTAATTTTTTTCGTCGACAACTACATGAAAATGATTAAATAAATCAGTATATCCATATGATGGGATATCACACAGCTATCAAAAAGTTTGTAAGAAAAATGTTAAACAATCTGGAAAATGCTCAAATTAAAATATTAAGTGAAAAAGACAAAACTGTACATACTCATAATCTGAACTATGTAAAAGTTTCATGGAAAAATGACTGGAAAGGAATAAACCAAAATGGTAGAAGTGATTGCCTCTGGATGATAGGATGATGGGCAATTTTTTTCCTCCTCCTCCTCTTTTTCCTCTCTCTCTCTGGTGGGAAGTGTCTTTTTTTTTCATTATATTTTTAAAAATGACGTTTTTTATATTTAGGAAAAAATATTATAATTTTAAAGGAGTCATGTAGAAAAACCTCTCATGTGTACTTATATTTACCCTCATATATACAGTCATTGTGATCAGGAAAGCATTTGATTAAAAAGATTAAGGTGTCAGACAGACCTAGGCTTAAAACTCTGCCCGGCTACTTAATTTTCCCCTTTGTAAAATGGGAATAATAGTAGATTCCAACTAATGGGGCTTTAGGGTCACGCAGGTTAAGTCCTTAACATATTTCCTGGCACATACCACGTTCAATAGATGTTAGTTTCTCTGTTTAGGTACCATTAGGAACAGTTATGTACCATTTACGGGCGTTTGTAAACTTTTTAGTGAACCAAGTTGGCATTAGGGGGCTGAGTTATTGAGAGTATTTCTCACAAAGTGAGGACTGTGGTTCTGTGCGCCTGAACGCAGGTGGCTAGTATTTTCCCCAACTGTTGAAAATCTGTTCAAAAGCAGGGCGGCTGTCTAGCTTCAGACTGAACAGGAAACCTTCCTTATGCCTAATTTCGGTGTCTTGTCTGGATGGTTCCCACACAAAACAACGCCCCAAACTAGTTTCTACTTTTAGCTCAACCTCAGCAAATTTCCTTAAATAGCACTATGAGCTTGGCCCCGCCCACATGCCCCTACCCAGTTGGTCCGAATGGGGTTAGTTCAATCCTTTGAATTTTTCCGAGTTGATTGGCGGAGCAAACCGGAAATCTTTTTACTTTTTTGATTGGTAGTGCACAGCCTAGGGGCGGGGCATATGGGCGTGTCTCGCCAAGACCCGGTGAGCTGTCATTGGAAGATTAAGCCGGCATTTCCAGAGCTTCGTGCCGTCGCCTAGGTCGCGAGGGGCGGGTGTCCCCCCCCCCCCCAGAGTGGCAGGGGCCCGGGGGGGGGTGGGTTCCCCCCCCCCCCCCGGCTCCTATTGTCCTTTGCATTGGCAAGATTTGTTGTCATTCACGGAACCTCGCGCTCACTGGTACAAAAGCTCCAAGAGGCGACGGGTGATTGGTTGGTTACTGTTCCCTCCCCAAGCCTGTCGCCATTTCGCAGAGAGGATCAGAAATCTTTTAAAGGCCGCGGTACTGGTACCCGTGGTCAGTTTGGGGACCGGTGAGTCGCGGACTGAGGAGAGAGGGTTGCGGCACTCAAGGCCTGGCTGGATTTCCGCACCTTCAGAGGTCGGGAAGCTAGAGAGCAGCGGGTGGCTTGCAGAAAGGGGTCTTGTCCCTTCTCCGCCATCGTGTAGGCCAGGGGCTGAGGGGATCGAGAGAGGCTTGGCTCGTCCGTCGCTGGGCCCTCCGCTCTCCCCGGGGCCCGGAGGTCGAGAGGAAGCGGCCTGGCTGCTGGGCAGAAAGGACACTCGGACGCCTTCCCCGGGGACCCAGCGCGCGTGCCTGCCCGCTGCGGACGCCCACTTGGCCACCCGCTCTGGTTCGTGTCTTGGAGATCTCCACGCAGTCTCCCTGATGGACAGTTAGGTGCTTGTGGTAGGGGAGGGTGAGCGTGCCAAAGAGGCGCCAGGGTCGCCGGCGTCTTCCAGAGCGTCTCTAGCAGCGCAGCGGGCTCTGGGCGCCTCTGGCAGATGAGTAGGAAAAAGAGGAAAAGAGAAGCAGGAGGGAGAACCTTGGAGGTGTACTGTAGTTGGGAGGAGGAATCAAGTATTTGCTTCATAGGACATCTTAGTGGGAAGAACCTTCCCTCCCCCAGAATGTTCCTCACAGTTTTTTTCTCATCTGTGAGATTTATCGTTTTTCGGAAGCGAAGACAAGGACTCTTTAGTTTTGTCGCCCAACAAGATTTTGAGTGCCATAGTGCATTGGACTTCTATATACTTTCTATATGGCCCTTCTATGAATGATTAAAACATTCATCATCATTCTTTGGTTGTAGCAGTTCCCCTGTACCTAATTTATGCACAGGTTAAACGCTCTGCTCCTTTTCTCAGGTCGTAGAATAAAATGGTGTGTGCTTGTACATCATCCATGAAGTTAAGCGACTGTAGGACACAGTTGAATTTCAGAGGTGGGCCTCTGGAACTTGGTGATCTCCCCTCTGAGGTCCCTAGGGTCCCGATGGATGGGAGATGGGCTGTCCTTGTTCTGCCTTAACCCTGCTCTGCCCAGGAATAAAGTTTTCCTATGGTTAGCAGTTTAAAGGGAAACAAGGATTTTTTAATTTCTCTTTGAAGAATCTTTGTAGACTTCCAGGAGCAAGGTTAGAGTTGTAGACAGTACTACTTTTTTTTTTTTTTTGCGGTACGCAGGCCTCTCACTGTTGTGGCCTCTCCCGTTGCGGAGCACAGGCTCCGGATGCGCAGGCTCAGCGTCCATAGCTCACGGGCCTAGCCGCTCCGCGGCATGTGGGATCTTCCCGGATCGGGGCATGAACCCGTGTCGTCTGCATCGACAGGCGGACTCTCAACCACTGCGCCACCGGGGAAGCCCAACAGTACTACTTTTAAGTCTTTAATTAGAATGTCAAGTTCACACTTCAAATAGGCTGATCTGTTAAAATTAAAGACGTAGAATAAATTTCTGCAGAGCTAATCTGTCTTTTTTAAAATTTTTAAATTTATTTTTGGCTGTGTTGGGTCTTCATTGCTGTGTGCAGGCTTTTCGCTAGTTGCGGCGAGCGGGGGCTACTCTTCGTTGTGGTGCTTGGGTTTCTCATTGTGGTGGTTTCTCGTTGCAGAGCACAGGCTCTAGGTGTGCGGGCTTCAGTAGTTGTGGCACGTGGGCTCAGCAGTTGTGGCTCGTGGGCTCTAGAGCGCAAGCTCAGTAGTTTTGGTGCATGGGCTTAGTTGCTCCTTGGCATGTGGGATCTTCCCACACCAGGGCTCGAACCCGTGTCCCCTGCATTGGCAAGCGCATTCCTAACCAGTGTGCCACCAGGGAAGTCCGTAATCTCTTTACTATTGCCTTCCTTTATAGAATCTATCATGCACTCTACTGAAAAATATTGAATATTTATGCAATTAGACGTCAATATAGTGATTACCTTTTGGGGAGTAATGATTGGGAAGGGGCACAAGGAGATCTGGGTCACTGGTAATCATCTTTTTTTGATTTGGTTCATGACATTTCACTGAACTGTACGTTATCATTTATGTTTATATGTGTGTGAATTGTTTCCAAAAAAGCTAAAAATAATTAAGAGTAAGGTGAGGGTCGACACTGGATGCTATGGTATCTCCTCTGCTCTTTGCCTAGTTAATTCCTCTGTTAGCAGTGCAGTTTCCCAGTGCTGTATTTCCTCACCTCTGAAGTTTTTTAGGTTCTTTTCTGGGTCTTGATACTGTCTGCTAGCCAAAGGCAACTACTGAATTTCTAAAAGGTGCTGATATTTAACCTGCCTTAAAGACTTTCACATCGTGTAAAATAAACTGGTTCTCTGCTTCCTGAGTTCTCATTTCAGAAGTGTGAGTTGTGTCTGTTGTGACATTGCTTTCATACTTAAGATGACTAAAGCCTGCCACCATTGAGACTGTGCTTCACATATCCCACTTGGAAGCTGCAGTGGAAGAGAGAATTTTTTGGCAAGGCATCAAAAGGCTTAGTTGAGTTTCCCTTTGAAAACAAGTTACTCTACTCCTTACTGGCCAAACTATACTTAAAATTGTTCAGTATTTACTAGGAGCCACCTCTAATGGAGACTTGTATTTCATGTATATATCTTGTATTTATGTTTCTATATCTCTGCAAAGAACAATTACTTGACTTGCCTTTCTTTTCCTTCAGGTCACAAAATTCAGTTACAATGGGGAACGTTTTTGAAAAACTGTTTAAAAGTCTATTTGGGAAAAAAGAGATGCGGATTCTTATGGTGGGTTTGGATGCCGCTGGAAAAACCACCATCTTGTATAAATTGAAGCTGGGAGAGATTGTGACTACCATCCCTACGATAGGTATGTTAACGACCTATGACAAGACCAGTTTACACTTTAGTATGTTATACTTTTACATGCTTCTTGCATTATTGAATTTTTGGGGGGAAAATCTTGTCCACCCCAAGAGCGGT